TGTGTGTGTGTGTGTGTGTGTGTGTGTGAACGGATGCTACAGACCAAAAAGCAGAGCAGGGATCATCCTTTCTAACCTTCTCTCTGCAGGTTTAGGGATTAGCAGGATGCTGGGAGCCTCCCTTACCTCCCTCCTCTATTTCCTCTCTCACCGACTCTGATTCTCTCTATCCCTCAATCTGTCCTTTATTCTCTCTCATGCAGAAGAGCCTCCATCTAAATTTCACAAAGTATCACAGCAGTCTCAGCCAAAGTCGTAAAGAAGTGACTGTGGATACGAATACCCAAAGATTTATGGTTTTTAATAATAGGAGGTTAAAACAAACACTATCAACCAGGATTGGTGATATTCACATATGTCCCTATTTCAAAAGGTAATCTTCCTGTAAGACTCAGCAAGTGACCTTATAGCATTTTGCTTAAGCTCTATGCTGGTAACTGCTGGAGCAGATGTTAGGCTGAGTTAGAGACACACAGGTCTACTGTTTGTAGATCTGTGTGTCTCTGTGATTGTATCCTTGTGTGACATGCATTATTGTATAAACATTAGGATACATGTGCAAATTCATGTTTTCCTTTATGTAAATGTTTTGTATTTAAATAGCACTTTTAGTATCGATGACCACTCATTCTGTTTGAGAAGAACAGTTTGAGAACCATGACAACCAGATAACAAGGGAGCAAATGATGCAGACTTTTCTAGTGACACCTCTGTCTGAACTTATGAGGTCTCATTACTTGAATAAATATTCAGATATGTTTTGTTGTATGGTATGAGTGGCTCAGTAGCTGTGATGAAGAACTTGTTCTTTATGTAAATTTAGCAGTCACTTATTTGGGTCGCAGAGAGCAGCCAATCAGAGCCCTCTTTATTGGTTTGTCTACCATCATGCTTGTAATGTTAGTGAAGTTGTAGTAAAAAGTGAATGAGAAGAGATATATTGTTTAATCGGATAAAACGTTGCCCACCCCTACGTGCTGATGTTTAACGTCAGTGATTAATCTCTTCTTACCTGATTTGTTCGGTCCTGAGGTGGAAATTCAGGGCCTCAACAAGAATGTCCTCAGTGAACGGAGCCTTGTTGTCTCTGCGCTGGAGGTCAAAGTGGGCGGAGTTACAGAGGGCGTGGACACCTGTGTCTGTCCTGCTGGAGATCGACAGAGACACCGGGTTGATGGGCCTCAGCTTCCTTATGGCATCCTGCTCTCAAAAATAGAGAAATGTGAAAAAATTAATTTAAGAATTGAAATCTCTCATAGCTCCCCATAAACACTCAGACACAGATAAAAGTTAGATCACAACAGGGGTAGCACATGCAGCTAAAAACAGCTGTATGATGTTTCTATCATCTGTCTGTGTTAGGTATGATTACTCTGTGTGAACACCTCTTTCTTTTGTTTCGGGGTATTTTTATGTCTTTATTAGAGAGAAATTAAAGAGCTGGGTAAAAAAAAATGCGAAAGAATTCCAGTAAATTTTAGAATTGATTTTAATATGCTGACTTTTAAGGCCCGTCACAACCTGAGGTCCTCTGTCAGGGCTCCCACTGAGAACGATCTCCCTGAGGAGATCAGTCTGGCAAACCTCTTATCCTCTCTATTAAATCTCTCTTAAAACCCCATTTTTATAGGTGTACCTCCTCTTTAATATCATCTTGTTTTTTTTCTCATCACTTTGTTCTTTCTGTATCTTGGCTTTGTTTCTCTCTGATCTTCAAATTGTTTTAAAATTGTTACCTATTCTTTGATTTCTAACTGGTTCCTATTGTTTGCCTTCATTTTTTGTAAAGCACATTTCAACTGTGTTTGGAAAGGTGCTATAAAAATAAACTTTATTATCATAGATGGCCTGTCTCCAAGTTCTTAAGACTATAACAGTACACATGCACATATAGCTGTTATGTATATTATCATGATATTCAGGTATTTATCATGAAAAATATACAAACCAAATAAAAGGACCTTCTCATTTTACTGAAGCAACTTTAAAGCAATGCTCAATTAGATAGTACATACATAAATGATTTTATAGGCTTGTTTAATCTTTACAGGACAAGACTCAAGGTAGATTTAAGAATATGGCAGTGTTATCTATTCATCCACCCTCACCTCTAAATGGTCCTGGATGCCTTTCCTCTGCAGCTGATGTGGAGGCACCTTCACTGCACCACTGCAGAAACAGCAACTAGAGTTAAATATTGTCAAATGAGGCACATTAACATGTAATAACTCACCGTGCAGATCATCACACCTGTATCTGGATCCAATGTATTGAAAGAAGATGAGGTACCGTGTGCAGCAGTGCATGTTCTCTCCTGGTGTCTGTTATTCGTCTCTGTCATGTTGTTCTTGAACGCAGCAGGGAGTCGTTACATTTCAAAATAAAAGTTTAGTTGTCTTTTAACAAACTGTGACGTTTCGATGTGTGTGTGTGTGTGTGTAGAGGTCGACCTTTAAATACCTTTCACTAAAGCTCACACAACACAGCGTGAACACGAGAAGCACTTCCGGACCGGCTCGTGGTTGGATTTGTAGTCCGGAAGTAGAGTAGAGACTCCACGTGTAGTCTCTGCGCGGTAGAAAGAAATGCTCAGGTTAGTGCGTCACTTCAGTCACTCTTTCAATGTTAATAGTTTGTGTACAGACAACACTGTTTATCATTGTACTACAGTGAACCACAATATGTGTAGTTTCAGGTGAATTTACTTGTTCTAGTTGTTCGTCCCCTTTTATTTGCGTCATACCCTGCGTAGGGCGCGTGACCAGCTGTAAAACAATCTGCCTTGAGAACCATTGAAAGCAGAGATAGTGTAGAGGACATGTGTCAGTGGTGAGAGGACAACAGACAGTCTGATCGAGCAGCTCTGACGTTCATCCTGTTCTCATCTTTCAGCCTGTTACTTACACTGAGTCGGATTTCCTCCATTAAAGTAAATATTCAGAGATTCCTCTTTGATTATAGCTCTGGAGGCCAACACATTTAAAGTTGTTATAATTCATAGATTTATATAAAAACCTCTGCTGAAACTATGACTTACAATAAAATGTAGACACAGTTATTCAGAACGTTTCCCAAACTGGGACGTGACACAATTCATCTACTAAGATTTAATTTTATTAGGCGAGGCAAGATTATTCTTATAGCTTGTAGTGCACATTTCATCAGGAAGTCAATTCCCTGTGCCTTGTAAAAGGTGTAAAAGGCATCATGACAAATTGTAAACGCAACATAAGACAACACAAATAAGAAGCATTTTGAATGGAATTACAGAGTTAAATTCAAACATTTTAAATAAAGATTATTTTTTCTATAATAATTTCAGATATTTACAAAAATCATGATAGTCTTTGTTCGTGTAAAGTTTGAACAGATTATACATAAATGTATGGCCTATATGGTGGTATAGCCCTACACAAGTTCCAGTAAACTGCTTTATTTCAGTTTGCAATTTTGTAGAAATAATTTTGTAATATAATTTATATATTTTTTAATATTTCAAGTGTTAAGTTATACAAATTTCAGTTTATTATGGACGTTTATAGTAATCGACTATTGTGAATATTCTTCTTATTAGTGTTGTTTTTATTACATATTATTATTATTACAATTATTATTATTATTATTATTATTAGATACATAGATAGATAGATACATACATACATACATAGATAGATAGATACATAGATACATAGATAGATAGATAGATAGATAGATCGATAGATACATAGATAGATACATACATACTTACATACATATATACATACATAGATAGATAGTTAAATTTACTTTATGCTAAATTGGGGAATTATTGTGTTACAGCAGTATGTCGAGGGCAGTAGTTGTTTGCAAAATAAAATATTACTATTCTCACAGCTACTTGTATGGAGTATTGCTGATATAATGGAGCCCATATTAGGGTACACTCTTTATCGATCAAATTCAATCAAATTCTATTCGTATAGCCCATATTCACAAATCACAATTTGTCTCATAGGGCTTCAAATAACCTGAATAGGATAAATTATTCATACATCATTACATATTTCCTTCCTCCCATTAACCCTCATATTTGTCCGCAGTTGTGACATCAGGCTGTAACTAGTGGGCGCTGTCCTCTCTCTTATCATTTCCCAGGCTGCAGGTTCGCCTCTCGTCTGTCTCGGCAGCAGAGGCAGCAGTGGAGTATATTGTGGTGTAGTAATCTTCCTGCTCGCATTCAGTGTCACGGTGCCACCGGGAGAGGGGCGACAGACCACTGCTGCTGCTGCTGCTGAGTACCGGGGACACACCACCTTACCATCCTCACCAACCCTCACGCCACATCCCCTCTGCGGGCAATGACATTGGTGGACTGAAGTGGGAATACACGAGAACACGCAAACATGACGGTGGACTTTGAAGAATGTATAAAAGATTCACCCAGATTCAGGTAAGGCGGCTTCTCTCATCACAGCGGTGCGCAAAAATGGCACACCTTCTTTTACGCACGGTTTTTTTTAACGGGGTCTCAAAGCGTCCTCTCGTGCAGAATCTGTGGAGACATCAACAGGGTGAATGATACAAGATGTGTGTGAATTCACCCATGTGCTCAATGACCGAATGGCGGTTTTTATCTCCGTCTATTTTTTTTTTATGCTTAAAAGTCTTATTCCTTAGAATTTGTACATGTCATGATTTGGTTGTTTTTGTGGGTTTTTGTGATAGGCCTACATTTGCTGGTAGGCATATGTGTGTCGGTGGTTCCATATGTGAATGTCTGATTTTTTGGGATGTGGTTTGTAGCTCAGTGCATGTGAGAGGAGGGACACTCAATGCCTAGCACAGTGAGGATCCATTTTCTTCAGCGTAAATAACGTAGTTTTTATCATGCATGTCTTAATCAACAATTTAATAAAGATCTATATTCTAGTGCACAGCCAAATCTATATGATCCAGTCCATACAACATGAACATGTGTAAGGGGATCATTCTGTGTGTGAGAGTCTTGCAGCAGCATGGCACACAGGTTGGGTGCAGTCTTCTCATTCCTTTATAGAGGAGGCCATGCAGTCACACTCTGTGGTGGCAGACAGGACAGGAGAGGAGATGTCCTTGCAGCAGCAGCAGCTGCACTAGCAGTAGTAGTACTGATGCTGGTGGTGGTCTGGCTGACAGGGAGCAGGCAGCAGGGAAAGGAGTACGCTCTCTATCTGCAGGGATGGAGCTCATATCCTGGGCGCAAATCCAGCTGCTCGGCCCCCTCGCCTGCCCGCTGGAGGGTTGTAGTTACACTCAGTCCACGTGCCAGTCTGGCTGCACTCCTGTGCAGGCCGATGGGGAAACCAGCAGTGGAGATTCTAACAGCATCCAGGCCAGGGATCCCCTGTTAACTATGTCAGATAGCTGGGTGGCAGATATTTGGTCAGTGGGTCACATAGAAGAAGCAGAGTGATAATATATTTTATGTTTGCTTGTTTAATTCTTCTGTTTCTCTGTGTGCCATTTTGTTACATCCCTCTTCCTCTTTCAGTCATACAACTTATCTTCCTTGTTGAGCATTATGCCCGTCCGCAGACAAACACACAGCCAGTGATTTAAGTAAGCAAGCAGACAGTGGCAAACAAGGAAGAGACTCAGTGAGTCAGCCATTCAGTTTGTTCCTTAAATCCCTCCTCACTCCTCAGTGTTGATGAATGGCTGAGATGGAAGGTCACAGGAAGAGACAGAGAATCAGAGCAAATTCATGCACTTCCCTCTTTTTTTCCGCCTGAATTACTTTCCCATGATCTTTAGAGAGATGCTGTTTGGACAATTCCACCACTGATAAAATGAAGTGGATGTCTTATTTGATCGGGTTTTATGAGCAGTAGGGGAAATAAAATGATGCATAATAGTTTGATTATGATTTGGTGATGGCAAACAATCACCAAAGTCCAGGCCAATGTCCTATCCTTCCACCACGTTTCGTGGAAATCTGTTCAGTAGTGTTTGTGCAATCCTGCAAATACAATGAAAAACTCAAAGTAAATGGACACGGGCGAAAACAACCCCCTTGGCGGAGGTAGTTATTTTGAAGACATCGTGATCACCCGACTGAAAGAAGTTTTTGAATCAAGACAGAACACAGTGAGTGTTCAAATAAGCGTCTCTTCTCAAGGTTGACACAGGCAGCCTAAAGAATGGCTTGTTTTTACATGAACATTTACTGCAAAAACTTGAGAACGTCTGCTGTGAGTGATCCAGATCATTAAATGCAGTCATGGCCAGTCCTGCCTGTCTTCCCACACATGGTGCTGAAACAGCTCACACACACACCCTCTCACTGCAGGTCCAAACTTGTGCCAGTGCCGTAAGTGTGTGTGTGTATGACTGGGTGAGCATGAAGGAATATTTAAGGTATGCCCAAGTATCTCTTACACACACACACACACACACTTTTTTCATTTTCTCAACTCTTTTCTTTTCCTCACCACCCGGTCTTTTATTCAGCAGTCACCTGCTACTTACATTCATCCTTTAACAAAAGATGAGAATAGGCGTGTGCACCTGCCTGTAGTTGTTGGTAAATGGTTGTAATCTGATTCTCATGAGGCTCAAGGATTTTTACCACCACCACTTTAGTTTTCTGCTTGTCCACACTGGTACTTCAATGATATTATCATTATTATGGTTTCATTGTGATGACGGAGTAGAACTGTGGTTGCACAAGCTTTCAACAAGGTCCTTTTTATAAACTAAAACCCATTTACTTGAACTTACTTTGATAAGCAGTACCTGACATTACACATGACTTATTGTTTTACTCATCCAATATAAACATAGCGTAGCTCATTGCTATTGAATTTATTTAAATTACCTTATAGTTAAATTATCCTTTTATTTATTTTTAATGTTTTCATTCACTGTGTTATAATGATATAAATACTAATATTCATATGTGGGTGTGCGCCGTTGCCTGGCAACAGCTCCTATAAGGGAGACAAATGAGCACAGGGAGAAAAGTGAAGACAAAATGTAAGAATGGGAGAGAAGATGGTGATTTGAAAAGACACCAACATTACATTGGAATTTACCAAATTTCATTGTGATGACTAAGTGTTGTCTATAAGTATTTGTTGACTTCTTTCAGCTCAACATGTATTATGAGAAGGTTGTTTTTTGTCCGTCCACATAATTTCTGTTTGTGCAAGTGGAGTGATCAGCAGCGTAAACAGATCAATGAAGTGTAGTTTTGTATTACCTGCATGTTGAACTTCTCACTGCCTGATCATTTTGCCTCCAGCCACAATTGTCTCAGGTCAGTGAGTGTAGGTGTTAACTGATGTGGAGAACCTGTCTGCGTCTCTGTCAGTTACCTCTGTCTGTCTCCGTCCCACCCTCACACTGTGTATACATGCAGCATCCGGTGAAACAGACAGGTTGTGTGAGTGACTCAACGAGATCCAGAAGGTGACAGGAGGACTCAGACAGGCAAGGCAAGGCATAGAGTTGTTATTGTGCGGTGCTCAGAGTCAATACTGAAACACAATCGAGTTGATTGTCAACAACACAAAAATATACAGATAAACCAAAACCAGTGTCCATATAGACAGTAATCAGTAAACATCAGTGGTCATTTCCAGTTTCCAATCACTAACCTGTAGATCTGCACTTGAAAGCTGCCAGACCTGCATGTTGGCTTCTTATGATAACAAAATGATCTCTTACTATTTGTATTTCATTTCATTTCAAATAATCTCTATGGGTTTAAGGTTCATGTCATACAGGAAAAAACTGATTAAGATATAAATTCCTAGACTAATAGAATAATCTAGAAGGGTGCCCAGAGAGTGCATAACTCTTCCAAGGCTGGAAGAAAGAAAGGAGTCTTTCAGTTTCTCCAGAACTGCTCCAAAATTGACTGGTTTGTCCTTTGGTCGAGCCCAGAGACAGTTTGTAAAGATGGACAATATGATCAGCCTCCCAAAAGTGAAGCCAAAGCATCTTAATCGCTGACACTGTCTCTTTTGCAGCATGTGAGATCAGTTGTGCTCAGGCGTTTACCTCCTCTGTGGGTGCTATGGTTACCTTCAGGGAAAAAACTGACGAGGGGTCACAACCTGTCTGTGTTTAGAATAGAGGTGGCTCTCTAACCCCATATTCTGTGGGAAATGTAAACAAAGTAGAGCTTATTATGTTGACTGAAGCAAATTGGTCTTTTTTCCCTCCTACCCTTCCTCTTCACCTTCACTTAAATAACAAACAAGATGTGATTCCTCACGCTGTTTTCCCAGCTCCATTTAGTTGTGCTGTGCTCCATATTAAGTCAACATAAACCCTCTTACTATGAAATTAATTTTAATGAAGTCTAAAGAGAGGGTGAAGAATGTCTGGAGCTTATATAGGCCTACATTAATGGGTAAACCAACATAAAAGATTTGAAAGCACTTCATAACAAGGGGCACTCTGTCTTCTCATTCCTGTTTCCCTGCATTATTTTAAAAGGACGTCTCCGTTTATTGACAGATTAAAGAGCCATTTGATGCTCCAGATATGCGTCTGGCGCCCCGGTTTCTTTTAACTGTCTGGGTTTTCCCATACCTGCATCATCATCACCTACCGTCCTGTTTTACACGTCATCGCCCCGATTGTCAGAGATAATGGATTCTGTAACGGTTAAGTCACCATTGAAATATGTAAATATCCAACACCACGCTGCTGTTTCTAGACAGGGGAGGGGAAGTGGACTTGTCGTTGCCACGGGTGATCAGTTGCTTTCATGCGCGTGGCGACTGCATATCCATCCTGCCTCGCTCCAGGATGCAGGGGGACACTAATATCTGTCCACTTCATCGCAGGACCACACACAGCTGTTTGGGGCGTGTGCCAGCGGGCAGGTGTGTGTGCCAGCAGAGCGGGTGAAGATGTATCTACTCACAGCGTAAAATAGAACAGCACACAATGACCTTCAGAGAGTGCGGATGGTTTTACAGTAGATAATAAATTGTATTAAACTGCGGAATAAAATTAGCTGTTGCCAGAGAAGGTTGACACTGATGTCCTGATGTGATGACGCTTGGAAAACTTCCTGGGCTGGAGACATTGAAGTATGAAGTGCCAGCTTTCAACTATACACACCCGATGTCCTTATCAGTTTGTCTTTAACTCATTTTGCAGAAAACCCCTTTCAGAGCCACCGTGACCCACTGAACTTCACCAAAAATAGATCCTAGTCTACAACATCCTCTGCAAAACGTTTAGAAAGATTCCAGACCACTCACTTTAAGTTACTAATGTCAAGACACTCATTCCCAAACCACTCTCCCTAATGCACCATGTACACAGGAGATGTGGTCTTGACGGCAAGAGAACGGCCTCACAGGCCTGATATCCCGATCCTCTTATCCTCCATATATGGAGGTTCCCTCCATCCGTTTCAAAGCTTTTATCAGTTATTCTAAAGATGAAATT